TTAACATATTTATGGCTGGTGAATATATTTGTCCAAACCATGGTAGACTGAAAAAGTGGGAAACTTGTCTGGAAACAGTCATTATTCTGTCTGTTTAGTGCCCATAGTGGTGGAGCTCCAACAACACACAACACCTCACTGTGACGGCTGTAAATCAACAAAACCCACTGTCCTAAAACCCCAGGAACTCAATCCAAATAATCATTAGCGAGCTGACTATAATACTACTATTTACAAACCATCGCCATCATACTTGTTGGAAGCATGAAGAAGTACTAACGCCGGTGTTTGACTGTATATAGACGTTATGGCAGCCTTACACTTAATCTCCAAATCACCCTATGCCACTAACAAACTAAGAACCATTAAGCCTTATAACCAGTGTTGGGGAAAGTTACTTTTAAAAGTAATGCATTACAACATTGCGTTACTCGCTGCTTATAACAGAGAAAGCATTCAAGGGAACTAGACCAGAAAACAATCAAGCAGACTGGACACTACAGGATGAGGTCATGTGAATGACAACCAGGGGTATGTGCTTGATGATGTCATGCAAGTGGTGACATCCTAAATCCCAAAGAATTCAGAAACTTTTTGCACTTTCATTAGTGTGTGTACAAGATAGATAGATAGATATCAATAGAGCAATTCCATTATAAGTGCATTACATGTAGGTAACCCTATATTCCATTCATAAGAAAACTATTGGGGTCCAAAAATCACATAAAACAGATACCAACTCTTACAGCAAGAGAAGATTCATCAACTTCTTTGTTTATACTGTACCTTGAACACCTTTCCGAAGGCTCCATCCCCCAGGTCTCCCACAATCTCCCAGATTTCCTCCGGATTTGTGTCCCTGTGCACGTGATCATAGTGTTTCTTCTTCTTCTCTGCGCCCAATTTAAAGATTTTTCGGAAATTAAAGAAGGACATGGCCAGTTCCCACACGTCTCTTTCTCTGGTCGGTTGGCAAAGGGAGATTTCTTTCAATTAATGTCTAAACAATCGTAAATCAATGCAACTGCTATTGCATTCCCATTGCAATCCAATACTATTCAGTCTCTTGTCTAATCAGGAAACAGTGTTGACATGTTCGTCTTTGCACGTTATAATTGGAGAGCTTGGCGTGTTACACTAGCAGTCATTTAGTGATCAGTATGCCAATGCAATAATGCACAGACAAAGAAAATTCTTGATTCTAGCGATTCTTTGCTCTGAGAGAAAATCGTATTTTCAAAATAAAAGTAAATCATTAAAATGCATTAATCTACTGCGTGCAATGGTGTAAAGGCGATCTTGAGATGAATACATCCTTTCGAGGTAAATCATGAGGTTGTTGCTGTTCCTCGGAGTTTCGTGGATCTGATCCGTAAAAACATCTAGTTGTTTCTCTTTGTCTTTAAATAAAGTCTGACAAGAGGCTGATAAAATGTTTGTATCTCCGGTAAATCACAGTCCTCACAGATCGTACATCCTCCGCTCCTGGATTAAGAGCGAAACCTCTCCAAACGCGTGAAAACGCACAATAGTTTTTGTTTGGAGAAACTAAGCGCCTCCTGCGCGTGCGTGCGCGCGCCTCCTCTAATCTAGCGGATTGGCGTCGCTCGCTGTGCGCGTCCACGAGGCGCGTCGATTCTTCGCTGGGTTCGGTGACGCGCCTGCGCTTTACTGTCGCCTGCCGTCGTGGATGTCAACACGTCTCAGCGTTAAAGGGATAGTTCACCCAAAAATGTATATTTGATGTTTATCTGCTTACCCCCAGGGCATCCAAGATGTAGGTGACTTTGTTTCTTCAGTAGAACACATCTGATGATTTTTAAATCCAACCGTTGCAGTCTATCAGTCGTATAATGCATGGCAATGGTAACAAAACATCAAATTTTCATTTTTGGGTGAACTATCCCTTTAAATTGCACGCAAATACACTGGAAAAAAGAGTTTTTACTCAGAAATTGCTGGTATGTTTCACAAACGGTTACAATGCAACGAGAAGTAACACATTTAATTAAACGTGAAATTTTGAAGTGGAAGAACTGAGCTATTGTTTTCTTGGAAAACGTACTCCAATAATTTTTATTTACGGCTTCAAAAAAAAAAACGTTTTTACAGTGTACTTTTTACAGTGTATAGTTTTGAATTTTGAACACAATTAACAGAAGACTAATAAATTATGTATAGTCTTTTTGTTCATACACAATTATATTTATATTTTCACACAAATTGTGACCCTGGACCACAAAGCCAGTCATAAAGGTATTTTTTTATTTTTTATTTATACATTCATACATCTGAAAGCTGAATAAATAAGGACAATTAGTTAGGATGGGACAATATTTGGTCGAGATACAACTATTTGAAAATCTGGAATCTGAGGGTGCAAAAAAATCTAAATATTGAGAAAATCGCCTTTAAAGTTTTACTTAATATCCCAATGATTTTTGGCATAAAAGATCGATCATTTTTACCCATACAGTGTATTGTTGGCTATTGCTACAAATATACCCCAGCGACTTATGACTGGTTTTGTGCTCCAGGGTCACAAATAGTTTTGTTTTGTTTTAGTTTATATTTATTTCACTTGGTTCCGCTTCATTGCTTCATCTCAACTTCAAAACTACTGAACGTGAGCGTTCACAACTTGTAGTCAAGGCAACGGACGCAAACGGAGGGAGATTGAGCTCTGATTGGTCGCCGCCTCTCTGACTATCTTGACTGACAGGTCAATGCTGTGTTGTGATTGGTCAATGTTGATGTTTATCCCTCCGTCTAAAGAGCTTTGACGTGTTGAGATTTACTTCAACACGCTCGTTTTCCTTTGCCAGAACCACTACAAGAGGTAACACAAGCTAACTTACACAAACAATGCTTTGTCTTCTGCGTTGTCTTTCATGAAAGCAGAATGTATTTGCAGCTTTTATCAATGCGAGGTTCAAATTTACAGTTATTTCGTGTGAATGATTTTATGTGCCAGTGTAATATATTGGTGTCAGTGCAAAGCACAATAGCCTACTTTTAGTGGATGTTGTGGCTTGCCAACAATTATCAGTTATCATTAAATGTTAAAATGCAATATCATTTTTATATTATGCTCTTAAAAAGGAATTAAAGTATAATTGTTGCGCGGGACGCGTTTTCAGTGACGTGCAAACGTAGTATCTCAGTTGCCATGACAACCTGTCGGCGTTGTGGTTTATTTTTTATACATTTTGCTTGAGAAAACTTGTTTTTAGTGAGTCGAATCAAGACGTTTCGGTATAAACATGTCGTGATGCTTTATTGAAATGTATAGCTATCAATACCCATCAAAATGTCTTATTAAGATTTCTTATTGTGAATTATGTGACTTTACAAAATAAATGCTTTCATACATAGACCCAAACTAGAGCACAAACTAATGACTGCTAAAACATTTAGTCAACTGGGCACAGGATGCTCCAAAGCATTTACTTTGTTTCATTGAAGTTTTAATTTGATTAGATTGTAGTAACACAGTGGATCCAACAGGTGGCACCAGAAACCGTCAAAACTGGATCAGAAAGCCTGAACAGGTTTAGGTGAGCTGTAGGCCAGAAATGCAACAATAATGTTTTAGTCTCCAAATGTACCTCTCCTCACATTTTCCTTACTATTACTTGAACAGTTTTAGATTATTTCTCCATTTCTCAATGTTCTGATCCAGCTGACGAGGCCGAGGCACTGAGAAGGATGCTGAGGGCTCGTCGCTCTACCAGCCCCGTCAAGGGGGCATCTACGCAGCGCAGTCCCACCAGACACTCACCTGTTAAAGTACTACTAAGCCATCGATGCAGTCATATCAGTGAGATTAGTTTCTTTTCATTCTGCTAATTCTTTTTTTATGTCTCTCTTTTTAAAGGGTGGCACGTACAATTCAGAGCTAATGAGGGTGTTACGAGAAAGAGATGAACTACAAAACATGATGGAGAAACACGAGCGGCACCTCTCAGAGATCCAGGTCAATGTTAAAGTGCTCACAGCTGAACGGGACAAGACCAGAAAGCACTACCAGCAGGTAGACAGCGCCGAACCTCCCAGAATTCTTCAGGTTGTTGTGTTCATTTTGGGATGACACACATAGAATAAAACAAAGAAGTCCACATGGTTAATTCTGAGTATTGACTGTCTGAGTGTGACTGATATTTAACCTGCAGGTACAGACAATAAAAGATTTTTACAAAATTATTCTTTAATGATTAAAATATTATAATTTATTATTTAACACAATGTATTTTTAAACTATGCATCAAATTTGTTTTGATCAAATAAGCTGTTTGATTTGATTTGTTTTGATCAAAAAAGTATATGTATATATTTTATATAAATACATAATATAAATATTAGTAGTATTATTTGCCAGATAACATTTGTTTTGGCTCCACTACAATAACAATATACAGTTATTTTATTTTATATTAAATAAATTATTAAATTAAGACAACCAACAATGTATTAATTTAACACAATATTTTTTGCATCCTTTTGGTCAAATGATTATATATTTTATTAGTATTATTTGCCAGATTCTATTTTAATCATTTTTCATTCATTACAATAACAGTATGCAGTAAAAACAATTATTTCATTGTGTATGAATTAAAAATATAAATTAATAAATTGATTGCTTCCATTGTCCTCGTGGATAAAAGCGTCTGCTAAATGACTAAATGTAAATGTAAATATAGCCTATATATTTATTAGTTGTATTATTTGCCAGATAATATTTGACTAAATTATTTTGGCTTCATTACAATAACAGTGTACAGTAAAACAATGATTTAATTTAATATAAATGAAAATATGAAATGAATAAAACAATATTAATTGAATATTTTAGCATTTTTTTAGTACATGCATCACATTTGCATCAACAAATAATTATATATTTGGATATTTTATATAAATATATCTAATATAAATACATAATTATTTAATTTTGGAAACACACTTTATTTTTAACATTTTATTACACAGAAGAAAAGCACTGACTAATAAATATATTGCCAGTATTTCACTAAACAATGTGGCCTCAGATGTGCCCTGACTCCCCCTGCAGGCTCAAGAGGAGATAGCAGCTCTACGTCGGGAGGTCATGATGTCAAAGGCTGCACGAGGGCCCAAGAGCAGTGTGACTGCACAGAGCATCCTTAAACGAGTGGAGGCCGAGCGAGACGAGGCCACAGCAGACCTCCACCGCATGACCACAGAGAGAGACAGCCTGAGAGAGAGACTCAAGGTACGAGAAACAGCCTGATCTCAAGTACACTGGCTGAACATGTGTGTGCATTATGTTTGCTTGTATCCATCTGATGAAGATGTTATTTAGGAGTACTAAAGGAAAATCACTTACACACTAGAGTACAGTGATAAATTGAGTCATCTCACTGGGGAGCAGAGCGATAATACCAGGAGAGAGGTGTGCTTTTTTTAGCCTGCTGAGTGTATGTGTGTTCCCTTTGAACTGCACGTCGCCTCAGATCTCTCAGGAGACAGCCATCAGCGAGAGAGCTCACCTGGAGCAGAGGGTGGAGGACCTGCAGGTTGCTGTACTCACAGTAAGAGCTCTGTATTTATAGACTGCTATGGAACAGTGACGACAGCTGTAGATTGAACATACCATGCTTACTATAGTCCACAAGAAAGCAAGATCACAAATGAGATCTCAGTTATTGCTTTTAGACAACAATAACATTAAATCGAGAACAAATGGAGACTTAAGCTTGTAAAACATAGTCTGAAAAATCTTATTTTGAAATAGAACAGTAACTGAACCTTTAGATATAAATAAATAAAACAATTTTGCATGTGCATTTTTGTTGAATGCTATATCTGATGCATCAGGCTTTTACAGAGCTCATTATCGAGGAGGAAAATCACCTCAGAGGCCCAGACTAAGCCAAAATATTTCTAAATTATATATTTAATATATTTTTCAAAAGCCTGAAGCCTTCCTCGAGATTTCACAGCAAAATTACATGTGTACCATGACCTGAATACAGACATTTTTAGAATTATATTAAACAGCCTTGTATGTTTATATTTTTTTTATCTAATTCTACCAATAACAAAATACATGTCTTAACTGCTATCCACATTTATTTATGCTATTTATACTTTCTGTATATCAGCAGTGGTCTCGTTTGTTTCAATTTTTATTTCTTTATTTATAATGCATTTCAAAAGTCAAAATGGATACGTGAGTTGAAACTTAAATGTATTATGAGTAATACCGTTTTCTTCAGGGCTATCCTACAGTAAATCATGCCAAACAATACCTTAGTATAACATACTGCACTATACTGCACAATGCTATATTGTATCATACTATACTGTACTATAAACTGTAGTTATTTGCATGCACAGTTATTGTTATGGACTAGTGTCATTGTTTTGTGTGTGTCCCAGCTGGAGCAGGAGCGAGGAGAACAGAGAAGCAGGCACGCTCAGATGAGGGAGACCATGATGGGTCTGGAGGAGGAAGTTCAAGTACTTGAGCGAAAACTCAGTGCCAGTGAGGAAGAGCTCAGCCGCCTCAGAAATGAATGCAGCAGCCTCAGGTACACCAAAAACAACAAGATGTGTCCATATTTCAATGCTAACAGTTTTTTTTAGTTTGATACTGTTATTACCGATTTCTTTTTTTGTGTATGTATATACCAGACTGGCAAATAATCAGTTGGAAATCTCTCTGTGTGAGAATCAGCGAAGACTAACCTGCAGGATTGGAGAGCTACAAAACACTCATGAGAGAAATAAAATGCTGGATGAAAAGAATGGTAAGAAAACTAGATAGTACTGATATTTAATCTGTTTCATTTATTAATCAGAAGATGTCTTAGGTGAAATTATGCAAAGCTATAGGAAGAACAAAAATATACAATACCATTCAAAAGTTTAGGGTCATTAAGATTTTTGTAGAGAAATTAATGCTTTTATTCATCAAGGATGCATTAAATTGATCAAAAGTGACAGTGAAGAAATGCTGTTCTTTTAAACGTTCTGTTCATTAAAGAATCCTAAAAGAAATGTTTTTCATAAAAGGATCATGTGACACTGAAGACTGGAGTAATGGCTGCTGAAAAATATTTGATCAAATAAATGCAGCCTTATTGAGTATAAGAGACTTCTTTCAAAAGCATTACAAAATCTTTCTGAGCCCAAACATTTGAATGGTAGTGTGTCATATGTTAAATGTTTTGAATTAATCAGTTGGACAGCTGCAATCATTTTAGTGTTTAAAGGATATTTATGTATCATTGCATCACTTTTCCTTCGTGTGTTTCAGACTCTCTCCTGATGCAGGTGAGTGCTATGCAAGAGGAAGTGAACACGCTGCTGTGTACGGTCTCAGAGCTGGACCAGCACAGAGACTCGCTGCAGGAACAACTGGAGAAAAAGGCAGATCTGCTCAGCTCAGCAAGTGACCAGCTAGATGAGAAGGTACTACCTACATTTACACACTAAAACACATCTTTTTCCTTTGTATATTAGATTTGCTTGCTTTCCAGTTAGTTAGTACGCTTGGTGATATGTGTTATTTTCTTTCTTTCTTTTTTATAAGGAGAAAACCATTAGGAGCTTAAAACTGAGAACCGAGAATCTTGAGACAACTCTAATGTAAGTTCTCTATTAATTTTTACAGATTAACTGACAGTCATGTGTAGTGAATTTGAAGAGTGTGGTGAACAATTCTTTAATAGAAACTTTACCAAAGTTCTGTATAAAATACAGTTTATTGTATTATTTTCTTTTCCTTACAGTGTGTTATGTTCACCATCCAGGTATAAGAATCATGCTAATGTTGATATATCATAATTAGACTATAGTTCTTGACTCTAGCTCATGGCTATTAATTGTAGTGCATTTCTCCTTTATATACGTGAACGTTCACATGTTTGGGGTCAGATTTTTTTTTTAATGTTGTTGAAAGAAGTCTCTTATGCTTATCAAGCCTGCATTTATTTAATCAAAGATGAAGTAAAATCAGTTTTATTGTGAAACATTATTACAATTTAAATACTGTTTGTAATGTAATTTATTCCTGCGATGGCAAAACTGAATTTTCACCGTCATTACTCCAGTCTTCAGTGTCACATGATCCTTCAGAAATCATTCTAATATACTGATTTGCTGCTCAAGAAACATTTCTGTTGAAAATAGCTGTGCTGCTTAATATTTTTGTGGAAACATGATATATTTTTCAGGATTCTTTGAGTAGATGTTCAAAAGAACAGTAGTTATTTAGAAAAATGTAGAAATATTTTGTAACATTATACATGTCTTTACTGTCACTTTTGATCAATTTAATGCATCCTTGTTAAATAAAATTCATTTCATTAATTACTTTTGAATGGTAGTGTAGTTTCCTCTGTGCATTTGTAGTTTTGACTGCTTGAGTGTATGAGTATGTGATGTATTAGTATGCAATGAGACTCTTACATCCTAAAATGTAACATGCTGCATTTCCTCAAATGATTTATGAGTGACTATGAAAATGAGTGGTGTTGATGTGACTTCCTGTCCGCAGAACTCTGAGGGAGACCATAGCTGGCAGAGAAAGAGAGCTGGATGTTCTGAAGAGGAAGCTGTCTGACTCTGAAAGCGAGATGGGCACAGTGATTAAAGTCAAAGACGCCACATTACAAGAGAACGGTCAGCTGAGGGACGACCTTGACAAAGCACGTCTGGAAATTCAGGTACTGTAGCAAACTGTTTTATGCAAATTCATTGCAATAAACAAGATAACAAGACCTCCAACTTTCTTTTCAGACTCTACAGCTCAAGCTGGATGAAGCTAATGAGGAAATAGAAGACTTGCAGAAAAAAGTCCAAGTTCACATTGCTGACATCTTACGCACTGAAGATCTGTTGTCTGCTAAGGTGGAGTCATTTAAACAAAAAAGGGTGTTAAAACAGACAACAAGCATGTCCTGTTTAGAGTGTTCTTGATTGTTCTTGTTTGTTGCTCTTTAGGAGCGTGAGTGCAGAGAACTGCAAGAGTCTCGAAGGAAAGTGTCTCTTCAGATGGAAAGCTGGGAGGAACAGGCCAGACACGCTGAAACCACTGTCATCGAACTCCGTCTTGAGCTTCACAACTCTAACTTAGAGATACTTCGACTCAAAGAAAGAGCAGACAGCCTGGAGAGCAGCCTGCAACAGGTCACTTGGCCATCATGTCTGTGTTGGTTAATATGCAGGAGATTCTCAACGCAACCCAAATGCTCACTACAAGACCGAAGCTCATAAAGTTTTCGAAGCCTCATATTGTAGCAAACTCATATAGTGTGCCCATCGCTAATGTTCATCAGACTGGTAGTGTGCACTTGGCTTTAGTTAACTAAGTCTCTCATAAATTGTGGTTTGTTGCTGTGCCCAGGCACTGAGTGCAGAGCGGAGTTGTACTAGTCAGCTGTCTCAGCTGAACCGAAAGATGATTCACATGGAGGAAGATCTGCGTCAGGCCCAGACTGAGCGCACACAGGTGCAGACTGACCTGGAAAAAACACGGGAGCTCTGCGTCAAACTGGATGTCAGCAAAGAAGCTGTGAGTGCTTAAATTGGGTTATAACAAGTAGATATTTTTGTATATTACCTACTTGATGTCAGGGCAACAACTGTAAGGATGAAAACACACATTATTCAGTGCTATAGACTGAAGCTTTTTTTGTAGAAAGACAAAGCATATTGTACGTTTTTATAGACAAATTACTATAGAGGTTTTTGCAGCACTGCAAACATGACCAAGGTAAGACGCAAACATACAATCCCCAGCTCTAACAGCAGCGTCTATTAGGTTACTGGGCCTTTTTTTCTCAGGTTGTATTCACTATTAATTGGGTTTGGGTTTTTGTAGAAACACAAAGTACAGTTTTTTTTTTAAAACACACCTGTAGAATTTGTGCAGCACTTCAAACACAATCTAGGTGGGGCTTGAACCCACAATCCCAAGATTTGGAGCTCCGCTTTTTCCATTAAGCCACTGGGCCTCTGGCTTGTTTGATATTCAGTCTTTATTGAATCTGGCTTTTTGTAGAAACACAAAGTTTTTTTTTTTTTTGTAAACATATTGCTGTAGAATTTGCAGTTCTGCAAACATGACCCAAGTGGGACTTGAACCCACAATCCCCCACTCTAGAGATTGATGTTTTATCTGTTAGGTCACTGAGTCTCTTGCAGGTTTGTTTGTTTTTTTTCCTAGAAATTTGTTTTTTTTCATAGAATTTGTTTAGCACTTCAAACATGACTCAAAACTCACAATCTCCATCTCCGGAAGGTGATGTCATTAGGCCTCTACCAGGTTTTGTGTTCCGGAGGCTGATGCCTTATCCATTAGGCCACTGGGCCTCTTATTTGGGTTATATTCACTATTAATTGAGTTTGGGGTTTTGTAGAAAAACAATGCACATTAGAACTTTTTTTTTCCTTTTTAACCAAATTACCATAGATTTTTTGCAGCACTGGAAACACAACCCAGATGGGACTCACCCACAATCCCGAGCTATCCATTAGGCCACTGGGCCTCTTGCGCAAGATATGATAAATAATCTTAGACTTCCTTTTGCTGAACACAAAGCAAATCTGTATTTAAACCCACATCAGACACTGACACAGTGGTTCTTAATCCTGGTCCTGGGGACCCCCCAGGTATTTTGTAGCACTGAAAATAAGACCCAGGTGGGACTCAAACCCACAATCCCCAACTCTGGAGGCCACTGGGGCTTTTAATGTACCTTTTTGGCTAATCTCAACCTCAAACAAATGCAAAATGGATTTTGCTGAAAGACTAAGGATAGCTGTAGTTGTTATTGTAATGTTATGCTTTGAACTCACATTCTCCACCATCAGAGATTAATGTTTCAACTTTTCAGATGCTGCAATGGGAATTCGACCTTTTTTATTCAAACTAGTTCCTAATTGAGTAACTTTGGCTTTTTTGCTGAAAGATGTAATATATTCTAAAGTGTTCTAGTTTGTTAACAAACTATCATACAGCATTTGTAGCACTGTAAACACAACCCAGGAGGGACTCAAACCCACAATTTCCAGCTCCAACAGCTGATGCCTTACCCATTAGACCACTGGACCTTTTGCACCTGAAATTTTGGTAATCTCAGCCTCAGATTCTCAGATTGGTGAGACCCTTAGAACATCAGCCTAAAAGCATCTGCTAAATGATTCGATGCAAATACATGTAAAGATTTTAAATTCTGAGCAATTTCTGGGAAGAACTTAATTTAAACTAGATATTTAATTTCTTAAATGTTTTAGGGTTTTATGCATTTAACGTTGGTTTTATGCGGAAACCAAATTGCCTTCGAGAAATGAAACAAGGACAAACTGAACTGAAATGTAAATAAATGACTAACACAAATGTCTATGTGCTTGTACTGTACATACAGGTGCAGCGTGAGCTGGAATCATGCCGCTCTGAGATTGAGCTGTTACAGAAGCAGCTGAGCGGTGAACGTCTGTCTGTTCAGACTTTGGAGAGCTTGCTGGTGTCTTCACGAGAAAAGGAGTTACAGAGGCAGCTCACCTCTCAGGAAAGACAGACCGAAATACAAATTCTCAAGGACAAACTCAGCATGGCTGACAGCAAAGTGTGAGTTTAGCACGTACACATGTCTTTCTTTCTGTCTTCGTCTTCCACTTACTGTCTTCTTCCCTGTCTCTAGGAGTTCTCAGAGTAGGCAAATGGCTCAGCTGAGGACACCACACCTTGCCAGTTCTCTTGAATAAACATCTCCATGTTTCTGTGCTGGGATGTTTTTTTTTAATACGTTACTGCTAAACTACTTATTTCATAATTTATTTCGTTGTTTTTTGGTCATTGATTTCTTAGAATCAATATAATTTTTGTGTTTTGATTTTTTTGTTCATCCTTGTGATCTGTTTAGTTTTATTTGTTTTTCAGTTTGCTTGTTTTGCTAGGATAATGGTAATGGTAATCTTCCTCTTTATAATCGCTCCAGTTAATTGAAAAACAGAAATAAACGACAAGCAGAAAAGGAAACCAAGCAGTGTAATAATGCTCATTAGAAGAAGCGCACCTGTACGCCTCAGCACGCAACGTGTGTCGTCATCACGTGGGTGTGGCCAATCAGGTGCGCTCACTAGTGTCGTTGGGTCTCAGAGCTGCGCGCTTTTTGTTGATGATCTAAGCGCAGGTGCGCACTTCTGCATCTTCATTTCGCAGAGGTAAGGCAATAATATGATGCTGCTTTAATTATCTATCTATCTTGTATTACTTCATGAGTCAAATTTAGGCACTCTTGTATTGTAAAAACAACTTTCAAAAGGCCATCCTCAGAAGATAAAAAATATATTTGTCAGGAAACCTTGCAATGAAAGTAGGCTCAGAGACTTTAAAAGTTCCTCCGATAATTTTAAGCCTCTGTGAAATAGAGGTTTCAAATTAATAACTCTTTGTGCATCAGACGCATGTTCACTGTTACTGTATGATGTCATGCACTTGTTATGGTAGTGTGCATTAGGTAGTAGATGATTATAAGACACATGGTTACTGTACATGGCTTGTGAAGTGCACTTCAACTTTAATGACTGACGTGTAACTTTATAACAATATATACCAGCAACCTACACAGATAGGCCTATTCATTTTTAATTTAAGATGTATGTAATGTACATGCAGTATAATTCCTTTGGTACGGCTGTTTATCAATGCATCATGTTGTGATTGATCTCCTACATTTGTGTTAAAACAGGTGTGGGATGTTTTCTAGGAAGGGAAGTCTGTGTCTAGCTCACATTAATTGTAATCCAAAGGTCAGTTCGTTTAAGATGAAAGCAACGTTTAGGAGGGGTAGTGTATCTTCAAAACACAGTTAATGTTCAAGCAGATTAGTCACTCTCTCTGTTGAGAAGTTAATGTTTGCAGAACAAACTGTCATGAAAGGAAAATAGAGTCATATGGAGCTTCAAGGATAAAAGTGAGTGAATAAATCTTATAGAGTGACCACAGATATAGAGTGACCACAACAGCAATGAGACGTTTCACTGTTTGCATTACGCCGCATGTCTAATGCCACTCCAGACCCAAAACATACTATTTTGCCCTATGTTATATTTGTTATCTTTTATAGGCTGCCAGCTAACAGGAAAGTTCCCAAAAATTTGACAAACAAACATTTTTCTTGTAAAATTTGTTCAGAGTCGTCTCTTTAAAATATTCTCAAAACATTAACAAAAAATGATTTTAATTAAAAAAAATGTCAATTTATTCAATATTTGCGAACTTTTCACTTTCATAACATGATGGAACATTAGCAAAAAGTTATAGAGCAGGGTACTTGTTTCAGAACATTCAGAGAACATTCAAAAGTAATGTGCCCATAATGTTTGCATAATTATAAAATGGAAAATGTTCTTAATATTGTCACTAATGTTTGCATAACCCAGAAACAATGTTTTTAAAAGGGTAATTTTTAACATTCAGAAATACTATATGTCTCATAGACAACCTGAAAAAAGCATAACAAAAGTTTGTCAGGGGATTTTAGTGAATGAACTGAATGTAGCACAGGCTGTACAGTGTACAAAGATGGGCAGATTGCATTTCATCTGGGTAACATGGTACTTGAATTGAGGCATTCATACCTGAAGAAAAGAGAAGGTAGAGTCTAAAAGAACGAAGGCAGAGAAAGTGCGTTGCTGTGAGAGGGATGGCATTACTGGAGCAGTCTCAGGGTGTTGGCTTACATTAGGCCAAAACAACTGGCTGCCAGCTACATAATGTTGTCTCCATCTTTGGTTGCTTATAAAGGAATAATGTGGGTCTTTAGGAGCAGACTGAAAGGTCGATTAAAACTTGTTGACATTCGCAAGTTGTGTAAGCTGTTGATTCAGAGCTTATTTTTGGAAAGGTCTTCTGGGAAACTCCTCCGGTGTCACCTGCACTGTTTGAACGTAAGCTAACCTGTCTGAGGCAAACAAGATGGAAAGGAAATTATGTCACACAAAACTCTTATGTCCTCGAAAATCAAAACTCATACAGCCTTCATGTGCTATCAGAAATGTCCTTTTTCCCTCTTTTGAAGTTGTAATTATGCGGTTGTTGTGTTTGAATGCTTTGTTGTCAGAAAGAATAGGAATAATGGAGGATGCCAGATTTCTTGGGGAAATCTAAGTCTTTAACCAAAGTGTACTGAACATTATTCAACATCCAATCGAATTTGAATAAAATGTAGCACCCCATTCATTGTCAGCCATATAAATGTTGCTCTAGACAGTCTGGGTTCAGGAGTTTCGATCAAATAAATGCAGTTTCACAATGTAAAATACATACAATATGCATCAAACAGTTATTTCTATATGTAAATATGCTCGACTGTAACAGCTTGAGAAAGCAATGCATTTGTTGTGGAGAAAATGAATAAAGCTCAACAGTGACTAATAGTTCTCTCCCTCTGACAAGTTTCTGGCCTGTCCAATTTAGAAGCTCAGGTATCAAAATAATCTTTTTCCCAGTTTCCCAGTCAGAAATACAATTTGAGAGCCCGTTCATGTACAATTTATGACTGGAATATTCATGATAATTCCAAACGCATGCAAAAGCAGCATTAAACTCAATATAAATGTGTTGAGACTGTGATGGGACTTTATACACACATCTCAGCATTTTGCTTAGTTTTTAAATCAGTGTCTGTTTTAGTGCACTCTGGGCCACTGAGATATGCAAATACAAAAAAGCACCTGGCATGCTTAAACCAGCAGTTTTCAATGTCAGTACTGGAACAGGACAACAGCTTATGAACTATATTACATTTTTAATCAAATTTACCTTGGCCAAATCAAGAGTAACTAACTACAGAGGGGGGTGGGATGTCATTGTTTGTTGGCATGCATCTGGACTGAGAAGAAAATTGATGCCAGCTTTTTAATTAATTTAACATGACATGCCAAAAGTCTGAACAGCAGTCCACAACATCATCCTATTCGCTGGTGATCTGTAGTTGAAGGTGAATGTTTAACTGCATCCCAGAGATGCTTCGGTGAGTTATTATCTGACAAGCCAGGAGGCCAGTTCAGATTTTTCAAATCAATAAAATAATTTTATTGTAGAAACATCATAGGCACAAGTGTAAAAGTATAACACAATGTACATGTGTTGTCTTAAAATGTCACTACAATATAAGTTGTATAGAATATATAGTATATATTATACTGTAAACAGTATATACATAATACATATTATAACATAAGCATACAGTATACACTGTGGACAAAATGTACAAGTACTTACCAGTGTAATAGTGAAATGGTTTAAGATTCAGGTTTTTGTCTCTAGGAGACATGTGGAGCTTGGTAAAAAGCCATGGCCTAGTTTAAATTCAACCTATTCAAATTCTAAACCACTATGAATGCTCTACCTACAATATGGTGTTCAGATCATTTCTCATTTCAGAAAATGACCTGGAATTTAATTTTTTCATGGCAATTATTAAAGCCAACGATCACTTTAATATTTAGGTGAAAAGCCACCTGCCTACAGTAATTATTAACTCCTACAAAGGAAAAAGATGCTTTAGTAAGAGCTTTTACTACAGATCGTTGAGTTTTTAGAGGGACTTTCCTTGAGTTCAAAGAGTTGACCAGGTCAGGAAGGTGTATGCAAATAGACAGAAAATAATTTAAAGGAATAGTTCACCTAAAAATAAAAATTTCTGTCATCATTTACTAACACTTGTGTCAGTCCAAACCTTTATGGGTTTCTTTCTTCTGTGGAAAGCTAAATGTAGCAGTACATTGAAAGTGAATGGGAATGGATTGTTGTCAAACTCCAAAAAAATCCCCATACCTTAAGTAACCAATGAGAAGATCCCAGTCAGTTTTACAACATTTAATTTAATGCCCTCACATCCTGCTGTTACTACGAAACTCTTTGTTCCTGCTCTCTCTCTCTCTCTCTCTCTCGCGCTCTCTCTCTCTCTTTCCCTAACTCTTTCTGCCATTCTATAATCTCCTCTTGAATGTCATTTGGAGATGGCAGTGATCTAAAACTATCAAGGACTGAAAACCACCACAAAAAAAGCCAAAGAAGAAAACAAAGGAAACTCTCAGACGAGGAAGATCATTCTGCATCAACTTAAAGCTTCTGGTAAGTTTAGAAGTTTCTATTTAATGTTTTTGTTCATTTTTCAGTTTACAACCAAATTTAGGAATGTATTTCCTTAGTAATAAAGTGTGAATCCAAAATCTGATTGAAAGGTTTTAGAATTCTGAGAAATTTGAAATGAAACATTATGACATATGAACATATTCTGCAAATGGTCTTTACACAAATGCATTTTTCAAATAAATGTTTTACTTAAGTTGTTATATTATAATATAATTATAATATATTATATTATATGATTATAATGATATTATATATTCAAATTTTTAATAAATTGTACAGAAATAAAATAATTCCAATAATTTTAAAATTGTAAAAATTGGAGAAATGCAATATAGAGGCATTTTCACTTGTATTTTAAAGGGGTCATATGATGTTGCTAAAAAGAACATTATTTTGTGTATTTGGTATAATGAAATTATTTGT